TCTGAATGCTTCAGTGCCCATGTAATTTCCCTACTTGTATTTTTGAAAGAAGAATGACTAATATTTTCCAAATTATATACCACAGCAATTAAAGGGAAAAGGGACCTATATATGCCTGGACTGAAGAAAAACAAATCTTTTTTTTTTTTTTTTTAGATTATCCCTCCCTTTTTAAAATAAAATTGCGTTTCTTCAAGCTCATACCTATTCATTGACACCTCAAGCTATAAATTACCTGCCTAACACAACCCCATTAATTTAATACATTAGGACACATACATCAGGGCACAGCTCTACCCAGAAAGCAGAGTACAGCCCTCCCCACACGCTGGCCGTCCAGCAGCGCTGATCTGCAGGCGTGCACGCTCATAGCAGTTGGAGAGAAGCAAACTGTTACTCTTTGTCACTGTTAATATCAAGTTCAGTGTTCACCCAGAACAGTCACCTTCACAGAACATACAGAAGCAAACGTAGATGCAGGTTTTCCCGGCTCCCACCTCCTGCTGCTTCACTGGGATCCTTCAAGTTGCACGTGAAGCCGCAGCTCTTGGAAGAAGGTGATTACTGAGAATTTCAGCTGGGGTCAGGTGGCTGCTCCAATACCTTCTTTTTTCTTTTTTCTTTCTCTCTCTTTTTTTTTTTTTTTTTTTTTCATGGTGGAAAATAGCTTGAAAATACAACCCCCTAGACATCCAGAGCACAAAACCAAACAGTGAAACTCCAGCTTTTTTTTGTTTTTTTTTTAAATTTCACTACATGGAGGGTTGAGAACAGATGTTAAGAACCACTAAATAACTGTAGGTAGTGCACACAAGAGCTAGTGCTCGCTTTAACCTTTGAGGTTCAAACGGTAACGTTATTTAGTTAAGACCCATGTCGCTGGGTTCTTGTAGTCTGCTCCTTTATCTCATGAATTTCAGCAAAAATACCGGCATAGAGATTTAAATCCTGATTGTGTTTCATCCACGTTTTAACATCGGAACATCAGCAGAAATCCCAGTTTCATCTACTTTAATTGCTTATGTGCTCTGTGAAGAGAGATGCTTTCCTGAAGCTTATCGGGGTCTTAATGTTAGTTAAAGTGGTCTTAAGCTGTGCACGAAGGCTTGCGGAAGCACGAGCAGAGTGGGGTTCATCTTTTCCAATGGATAATTTTAATCACAGCGTCATTCCCTCCTGTACATTTCTTAGTGCTTTGCATTGCCTTGTTTTCATTATCCCTCAGGTTTCCTCTCTCTTTTCCCAGGAAGGTGCATGCAAGGCTGATTTTTTTTTATTATTTTTTTTTCCTTCCTTCTAGGAATGCCACTTCTCAGATACCGGCATCTCTTGCAGCCACCACAACAAACAAACAGCAGCTCTTTGAAGCAGAAGCTGAGGAGAGAGTGCCTTGCATCATTTTAGAAATCCAGTGGACTTGGCTGGCTTTGCAGCTTTAGGCAACTGGGTGGAAGCAATTGCTCCATCTCCAAAGGGTGATCCAAGTCTTTTAGACATCTCTTCACCCACCCCACTCCCTTTTTTTTCTCTCTCTTTTTTTTTTTTCCTGATCAAACAAGCAGCAGTTCTTCATTTAAATGATCTTGATCATGATGTGAGTAGGAAGGCGCCTTCCATAGTTAGCATTGTGAGGGAGAAACCTGATAATTCATTTATTCCATGATAATAGCAGGGGTAGCTTTAAGGTTTTTACCATCTGTGCTCCTATGGGAAGGAGGAGCAAAGCCAATACAAATTTAACCTTCAGATTTATGCTTCTGTGCTTCTCCATTGTGCCTCTAAAGTTCTTCAGAAAAAAATCATTAACCATTTAACTACTGCACAAGAAGAAAAACTGCAGCTTCCAGACTACACTTTTATTTTGTCTTCAGGGTTTAATTTAATAGTAGACTTTAATAACTATTCAAGGCAAGTTATATCTTTAGTGAGTGTTAAGTTTGATCACATCTGTCTGTCTGTATGACCAAAATATCCAAACTTAACATTAAGTGCTGAATCTATCTTCAAAGCTTTGTCTCCTAGCAAGTAATCTCACAGTATTATAGAACACACAAATAGAAAAATGCAAGTTGTCACTTATGCCTACCACTTTTACAAGGACAAAACTCTTGTTGAAGTGGGAATGGGGACCTGAGATAAAGGGAAACTGTTAGCACAGTTGCATGCCAAAATTTAGGATAAAAAGGTGTATTGATTTGTAGGTTCATCTGGATTTTACAGACAGATGACCTAGGAGAAACCAGGGATGTCTGAAAGTGGGCAAATGACCTATGAGCTAAGAGTCAGTTCATTAGGCAAAGATCAAAAATGTAACTGCATCCAAAAAGGGTCAGTGAGTGTTATTCTTCTAACCTTCAACTGGAAAGGACTGAACTTACTTAGCTCATTGTAAAATGATTAAAGGTTTGAGGTTAACATTCAAAAATGGCTGCAAAGTTGGGGGCAGGCTCTGGAGAACAGAACTGGTTATTGTTGTGAGAGCCAGGGATGGAGTCATATGAAAATCTGTGCACTTTTTTGCGTCCATTTTATCTAGGTCCCTATCATGGAAACACTTCATGTGTATTTTACTGCATCTGAGTACTTGCTGATTACACTGCAAATGTTGCTACTTTCTGGTGAGCTTGCCCCAGAAAGTGGGGTCTTCAGGGCCAAAATGCTCTTCTCACTCTGGATTGGCTAAAAAATTAAAAACAAAAACACTGTCCACTAATTTTCTGCAGGAGATTGAGTTTAGAGTTCAGTTTAGCGCTGTACAACGTAATTCATACACAAGTTTTACAGGGGGAAAAAAAAAGAGATGTTTTCTCTTATTGACCTACTTACAACTGGGTGCCGTGGGATTCTCTGGCCATGTTGCACGGTGGGGCATACAGTCTGTCCCAGAGAAAACCAGCAATATGGGAACACCTGAACTATGCTTCCTGTGATGCTGCCTTGCAGCCTTTCCAAAACTCACATGAGTCCTACCATAAATAATCAAAACATGGCTATATTTGGATTAGCTGTGCCTTGAAAACAAAGGCACTTAAACTAGGTCGGCATGAGGCATCTTGGCTCTACGAGCGTTGTGGTTGTGTCTGAGGGCCTCTGCATTGTCATAGGCTCAGCTGCTTGCTTTCCTGACTGAGGAAATTTCAGGGATTGTGGAAATGGGATATCCAGTCTCTCTTTTGCCCTTAAATGCTGCTACTGTATGGTTTAATTCACTATGGGTATTGTTTCGACTTTATGCAGGTTATTCACTCCTTCATTGCGGTAGACAGTGGATTGTCGATTGCTGTGTTTTTTCAAATAAGAGCCTTCAGGTTTTGGCCTGTGAAAGTTGAAGTTTTCCATGGAAAAAGTTGAGGATGCACTTGTTTTCATTCTCACCAACCTTTCCTGTGAGGAAAAGCCTTGCTGATTATGACTGTCCATGGTCCTTCAGCAACAGCTACCTGTTTTGGGAAGAAAGAGGCTGGGGCAGAGCTGGTTCCCCTCTGCCTGCTGTCCACAGCCCGTCTGAGGAACAAAAGGGGTGACCATGGTCTGGGCTTCCAGGCATCAGGAACGCACTTGGTTGCTTGCCAAGATCCATGACAGAGCACTTTTTCCATAAACCATGGGGAAACCATGGTAAAATGAAGAAGAAACTGTTTCTTCTGAGTAGGCTGCTGCTAGCGCAGTACATCTCCATAAACACTTTTGCTAAGAGGCATCTCAAGGAAGTCACTCACGTAGGAGTTGTGGTACCCATGTCTTTCTTTATCAATCTCGACAGGAAACTCTCTAGAGAGAAGAGCATCTCAAAAAAGGTCTACCTTGCAATGTTTTTGATAGTCCTTTCTGTTTTGGATAAAAATGTTGAGTTTAAGTTTTATGAGTTGCCTATCTAGGCAAATAATTGCGACCACTTCTTACGAAATCCATCAACTGAACCTTCATTATTACCTTCCACTGGTAAAACACAAGTTAAGCTTAGCATTGAAATGGGTGGAAAATGGATTGTAAGCCTAGTTCCACTATGATTATTTTTTTTTTTAAGTTGGCTAATTATTGTTCTTGAATTAAGAACTCATAATCAGCATCATGCCTGATATCTTTGGCTTTGTCTCGTGGTCCGTAGGGTTTTGCAGGAAAAAACTCTAAAACAAGCAGTAATGCATGTAGACAATTGTACAATGTTATGGCTGGGAGGAAGAATTGTCTGCCTAATCTCTACCTGGCTGTTGTGGAGGAAAAGATTTTATTAGTGTATTTTGCTGTCTAAAAAAGAAAAACTCAATAGCTTTTCTCTGTGTGTAGGTATGATCATAAATATACCCTTGAGTCTTCCTGTTTCAAGGTTAAATAAAAGCAGTTGTGCAGGTTTCTGTCATATAAATAACCTGCTAGAAATAGGAGAATAACCAAAAACCAAAAAAGCACAAATACTGCGTGCTCACAGCAAGGTTTCATTAGCTTGTAAGCTACAGTATAAGCATTTTGATAGGGAAGGGTTAAGGCAGCATCAGAAATTTTGAGCTTTATGAGTATTCACGTACTCGTAATGCTCATGCTTAAAAGATAGGACACCAGGAAATGATCACTGAAGTACTCCTTTTCACAAAAACCCACCTGGTACCTAATAGTCCTCAGAAATAAATGTCCGGGGTACAAGAGCAAAACCAGCCACTAACTTATAAAATATTCAGTCAAGGCATAGCAATAGAACTCTTCACTGAAGAGCTGAACCCTACCACACAACACAGGATGACTTCACCCATAACCCTATGGCCAAGCTGGAGCCTGTGCTCTGCGTGTGACCCTCCCCTTCCTCTGTCCTGAGTGGGGCTCAGAGCAAAAACAATTGAAAGGAAAAATAACCCGGGTCCCTTGGGAATCAGCAACACGCGTTTAAAAAGCTTCCTGTTCTCCACTTCGTAGACTCAAGAAATATTGACTAGCTCTGAAAAATCAGAGAAACAGAAAAGTAAGAGTATCGAGGAAAAAATTGATTTGACTTGATCTTATTTCAGGGCTGGAATGATTGTCATAACACCAGCTGGAACTTGCTGAGGCTGAATGGTGCTCTACACTTGACAAGCAGTTCTGTATGTACCCAAGATGTGCTGTTAAGTCCATCTAGCAGGTCGGCGTACCTCTGTCTACATCATTCTAAAAACCAATCTAAGTCTTCGGTGCACGGAAAGCTGCCTCTGCTGTTCTTTCTAACCCTTTAGAAAACAGAAAGACAACCCGTGAGGAGTTAATCCTTCAGAAATCTCTGAAAGACAAGGAGTTCATCCTATGTGAGTACCTTGAAGGGCAACAGCAGCCCATTTCGTATATGTAGGAGTTTGCTGGACCAGGCCTTAGACTGCATAGCAAACCTTAAGGTGCTCTTAACTTCACCAGCCCTACCCGTACTGATGGTAAGTGGGTAGCAAGTTAATTGTGTTAACTTGAGGTGCCCATTGCACCTGGGCATCTGGGACCAGACTTCCAGGACCATTAACAACAGACCTGTGTGCTCAGAGACCAGCTTGCTACAGCTATTTCATTAGCAGCAGGCAGGGCAAGCAATCCCTTTTCTGTTGAATTAACCAAAATGCACCATTAGAATTTTTTGCAGGTTTCTTCCTTTTCTGCTGGGTCAGTTACAAAGATACCTCATCCTTCCTAGACCCTACTGAAGCGTTAACCCCAAATCACTGTGAAGCAACGAGATGAAGTGAGAGGAGATGAGCACCGCTGGGTCACGCAGCCGGGGCAGGTTTGATTACTGTTAGAAGACCAAAAGCCAGATTCACAGTAAATTATTGAACCGGGGCCCTGTGCCTGCTGACTGTCACACCAGCCACAGGAGCATGGCATAAATCTTCAGATCTCATGGTTTATGTGTTGCAGTCACGTATCTCCCCGGGAGAGCTGTGGAAAGAAACACAAAGGAGAGCAGCAGACTTCAAACTTTGGGTATGCAGTAGCCTCCTTGGTAATATTTTGGCACAGGTACGTTTTGTCGTCTTCTTGCCTTGAGGATCACCCAGAAGTCACATTTTATGTCAGAGCGAGAAGGTTTTTAACATCTCTCAGCCAATTGAGCCCCAAATTACATGTCCTTACTAACATACTTTTTCATTAAAGAAAAGAAGAACATTTTTTTTTTTCCAAACACACGCTTCCTGATGTTGCCTAGAGACAAATTTCTGTTCCTGCTCCTTAACCCTCTGTCATCTGCTGCAAGGTGCTGAATTTTGCTGGGCTCAAGTCCTCTCGCTGAGAAAAGCCACTCAGTTTGTAATCAGGCATGTTAGCGGCTCGCTTCTCCATTGTTATCCACCAGGTTAGTCGCAGATTTGGTTTGACAAGCCATAACTAATTTATTTGAGCTAAATTATATGAAGGCAGTTATCATATTAACTGTGCTCACAGCTCCACCTCTCATATTGCATTTTTTGTTTCTGGTCTCCAGTTATAATATCTATTTTTTTAGATTTTTGTTTTATCCAGATGCTAAGTATTAAATCACGGCTTTTTAGTTTCTAGTGTAATTGAATTTTATACTGTCTGGGCAGCCTTCGTTTAAGAAGCTCAAAGTGCTTTAAAAATGTTCCTTAATGAAGCTTCACAAAACTTGATTGAGAGAGGTAAATATTGTTATTAGCATGGTTTTATAGGTGGGTGAACAGAGGGAGGTATAAGGTATTGCAAATGCTCTCCAGGAAATCATTGGTACAGTATTCAAGAGTAGACTTGGTCAAAAAAAGGATTTAAATTAGGAATTTTGGACAAAAAAAAATCTAAAGCTGACATTTGCTACAATAACCATTCTTTTTAGTTGTCAGTCAAAACTTTAATTTTCTGACAAATGGAAATAAATATTAGAGAAGAGCAAAGCTATTTGACCACTTACACTGAGGACAAGCAGAACAATGCACACATATAAAAATTAAACTTTCTTCAAAGAACTCCAGTCATCCAGATTCAGATGTTCAGCTATCCTACACATCTCTCTTTTACTGGCATGTTTTTTAGGTTAATAGGAGTTTATTGCCCAGCTGATCGCTCTTAGGGTCTGTGACTCACATCCTTTGGAGATTCAGTAGATCTCACTCTTGTAGCTTGCTGAGTCGTTCCTAAAATCTCCATGTGAATGCTGGGAGTTGAATTGCTTCATTTTTTATTCAGGTCAGACTTAAGTGTCATCGGTATCCTGGTTCCACTCCAATCTGGTGTCAAGAAGTTCAAACTAATAGTTCAGTTTTACTTTGAGATTAAAAAAAAGGTCTGAGCCAATCTTCATCCTGTCTGTGTTTGGTTTGATGCCCTGCTTTTAACTCTCTTTTCAATTTGTTTGCATTCTCATTTTCTCCCCCTCTCTCTTTTTTTTTTTTTTTAATTTAAAAAGGAAAGTGTTAGGAAAGGCTCAATGTAGGAAAAGTTGCTTTAACTGTTTAAAAAAAATTTTTTTTTGTTATCTTTCCAGTTTTCCACACAGCATCTGCTTCATAGGCCACCCAGCGTGGGCTTATGGGCCACCTGGTGCTCCAGCAGCTGCTGAGCACTCAAGGAGTGATCCGTCGCCGTACCACCAGCAACATTTGCAAACACATTTAGCACAGCAGCCTCTTCTGGGCTGGGATTTTACGCAGCACGATGACCGTGCGGGAGGTTTCCAGTCTGCAAACTTGCTCCTGACCTTCAGTCCACTGCCAGGGGTGTGGGACAGCAGGAGTCAAGGGTCTGCCTGGGACAAGGAAAAACTGCAACCCCTTTGGCTGATGTCAGTGGCACAGGCTCACACAGACCCCTTTTTCCTCGACTCGGATAGATCGATTTACCTGTGCACCAGCTTTATAGCCTGGCAGTCCCCAGCCAACGGTTCATTTTGATGCTTTTCATCAGCCACTCTGCAAACTCTGGAAGTGGAGATTACCCTGAGCAGCTGGCCTCCTCCTCCTCTCCTCTGCAAGAAACTTGTTCTAAAGCATGAAGCTACGCCTGCTGCGGTCTGGGAAGAAGCAGAGCTTTATTAATTACTCTTTAAGAGCGTATGAAAAACTAATAATTACACTGCTAACACTGTTATTTTATGCACCGTTATGCAGTCTGGTTTGTAAAACACTGATGAAATATTTACTTGGTGCTGTGATGACCACTATGGAAGCATTGTTGCTGTCTTGCAGCTTTGCTTAAAAAATAAAAAATCATTTATCATACTCCACTGGAGCCAATATTCAACGAGGACATATGCACTCCAGGCTTCGGGTGTTTATGACCTTTCCACATTCAGTTAGATCGTTGGAGATTAGATCATCTATTAATCCTCAGGGTTTAGGGTGATTAGCTGATAATCTGTATTTACCCCTTGAAGGCTAAGAACCACCCCAGGAGGCTACTCTTCCCTGCAGCGTACATAAAGGTCTCAAGGGAGGGGTGGCACAGGGGTTCTGCTCTCCCCCCAGATGAGGAGCAAGAACGTGCCACCCTCCCTCCGCACCGGACCCGCTTCCCAGCTATCACAGCCATCCACGTGGCTTGCTTGTCTTTTTGTAGAGCTAAATTCCTTCCTGCCAAGACAAGCTGGCTTTTCTAATTGTCATTCATTTTTGTGCGTATGAATTTAGCCGTCGTGAAAAGGAGCTGTGCTGGCAGGCCTGGAGAGGGAAGCTCTTTGGTTTCACTAGAGAGCTGGAGAAGCACGGATGGAGATGACCATGTCGCCCTCACGGTGCCCCACCAGTGGGACTCTGACTTCAGCAACTGGGTCTGAAGGAATAAAGGGGGAAAAGCAGGATTGGCCCAGGCTCGTTAATGCTTTCTCACTGGATAGTGGTGGCGCAGTCGGGGAATGGGGATGTCCTGGTGAAAAATACCCTGGGTTTTGGAAAGTGGCTGCTCACTGAAAAAAAAATTAAAAAATGGGAGCCACACTTAGCAGAGCAGAAGTCACCATGAAAACGTCTTTGATGTTCAGAAGAAAGTCTATTTGAAGGAGGGCAGAGGGAGATGCCCTTTTGCAGACCTTAATCTTGGTCCAGCAAAACTCTGGGGTGGGGATGTCCCAGTGAGCAATCTCCAGGTTTCAACTCTTCCTGCTGTCAGCAAACACAGGCAAGACTAGCACCCCTTCTCCTAAGTGCTCTTCGGGATTCCCCTGAATGGGCCTCATTTGCATGTAATTTCCTTTAATTTACACACTTCTGGCAAGCCCTAATGATTTCTACTGTTATAAAGCCCTTTTTGCTTGTTAGGTTTCCTTAACTTCATTTCCTGTGTGAACATCTCCTCTGAGGGACATCCTCTGGCCTCTAAAGAAGATAGTACATCATCTACACTCCCAGAAGTCAACAGAGACTCTTGATACAGGTGGGAATGAACGGAGAAGGCAGCAATAAAAATAAAGTTACTGTTTAATGGGAGTTAAACAGGTGAAAAATCTGATACAGAACAGTAGGGACGAATCAGAGCTGACACAAAAGCCAGTTGTTCTTTTTACAAACAAGCTAGTACTTGAAACACTTCACCTGGTACTACTGAAGTCAACAATAACTTTGCCATTAATTTCCACGATGGGAAGAGTTGGCTTTCTCTGTGAGGAAGAGCCTGTGGTTACGAGTGATCTGAAAAGAGTAATTGAAATTAGAGTAAAAATGTCGGTACTTTGAAGAAAAAGAAAAAAAAAAAAGGGAAAACTGAGAAGTTGGAAAAGCCAGTACGGAGTTTCAGTTCAGTGTGCTTGATAAAAATAGCCCCACATTTTAGAAAACTTTTTGTATGAGAGGAACTTGGTAAGAGTGAGTATTCCCAAATATAGCGCACTATGGCTACAAACAAGCTCTGTTACAATACCCAAGTCCTGCTCCCCAGTCCAGTGAGACACACAGACCTGCTGCCGTTGAGTTGGTCGTGGAACCAAGACTGGAGAAGGGGCCAAGCTGTGACACTGTTGCTCCTCTTGAGTAATGCTATATATCACAATAATGCTATATACCAGGAATAGACCCATTTGGCCAAGTGGGAATTACTCATGACGGAGAATGCTGTTCTGTGAGAGTGAGACGATTGCAATCTGGACTGCAGAAAACAGCATCCCAGCCTCTAATGTGCCTCGGAGCTGGCAAGGAGTGGCAGAGCAATGGGCTTCCCGGGGAGTTTTATTGGAATTTTGGGGACGTTTTAGGGAATAAGCTGCTGGAAGTTTATAACAGTGCCCAGTGGAAAAGTGAGCTGACAGGATCGATGAACCAAGAAGAGCTAATCAGGTTGATTTACAAGAGAGGAGAGAAAGAAGACACATCAGAGTGGAGACCAGTGTCTCTACTGAATACTGCAAATAGGATATTGGCAAAGATATGGCAATGGCATTAAGAACAGCTATCAAGGAAATTAGACTCAAAAGTTTGGAGTCCCTGAAAAATCATTTGATTTTAAGAAGTCATGTAATTTGTTGTGGGAGACAAGGAAATACGTTTCCCACACTCAATCTGCAACTGTCTGATGTCTTGATCAAGAAAGAAAACGATTCTGCAGAGTTAGGCAGAGATATCATTGGGTAGGTTTATTGAGAAGGAAATGGAGATCCATACTTTAGCTCTTTCATCCTCATTTTATAGATTTTCATGTTGTTTTCCATTTTTTTGGTCATATGTTTTTATCAGCTCTTTTTCTAGTGAATACAAAAAGCCCAGTGGCACTTTGGATGTGTGGCTTGTCGTGGTAAAGATGTCTCGGCTGAAAAAGGGCGGGCATATTATTAGAGAATGTCCCTAGAAAGAAATTTAAGGCGTGACATAAGTACACAATAAAGTAACCACCACAAGTGAAAGGAAAAACATAAAATACCTGTGTTCACAGGAAGTGGATTTAATACTGAGCTGACAGCACAAGAGACAGAAATCCTCTATTTATCTCGGAACAAATTCAATGCTAAACTGAGAAGAGGACATCTTACAGATGCAGAAGTATTAATCGCTGCTTAGTTAACATGAAAATAAGTTTCACACATGCTGAAATCCCAAGGTAACATTCATTGTATTTGTGTAATAAGCATTTATAACCCTTGTATGGACAGTTCGACCAGAGGCTGTTAGCTCTCAGAAGGGCAGTCCACAGCCAGACAAGTGGTCTTTGCAGGAGACCATGTAAAACTGCTGAGAGAAGCTTGCATGCCTCTTGTGTGGGGGGGAAACACTTCTACCAAAGACTTGCTCTGTGGTCCTCACACTTTTATTCTGGACAATATGACTTGAAAAATTTGGCTTGTATCAGATGGTGCAGTATAATTGAGATATGGATGCCACGTCTACAGATGATGTCAGTGATAGCATATGATGGATGGTGATGGACAAGATGATCAGCTGTTGTTGCTCTGGGCAGCAGCAGAGGTTACGTTGAGCCAGTACTGTAAGACGTATTTTATTTTGGAAATTTATGAGGACAAATATGCTGTTCTCAA